CTGACGGGAGTGGGCGGCGGTGTCCGTGACGCCGTGCGCACAGGGCACACGTAACAGGCGGGACGGTGACCAGCACGGCTGGCGCTGGGGCTTTAGACCAGGTCCCGCGTCTTGGAAACAGAAACATAGTTCTCCCTGGTCCAGCCACCTGTCCGCGGTAAGTGGCTATTATTTCATCATTTTGCAGTAAAAGAAAATAGAATAACGATTTATACCTCCAGCTGATGTGTTAATGTGTCTCTCCGTTATCCCGGCTGACAGTCTATGGTTGCAGTAAATGCTTCCTGGGCGACACGCGGTGATGGCTCGTTACAGGATTAGTCCGGGTTTAAATCCCCTGCTGGGCCCTGCCCGCCTGGCCTGGCCTGGCCTCTGTGCTCAGCCAGGACCCCAGCAGGACACCGGGCTTCAGGGACACGGAGGCTGTGATGCATGTCCCTGTCGGTCACACACCTCCGCCTCCGCCTTCTGGGTCTGTGACTCGGTTAGTTTTAAATAAAAGCAACTGCATGGGCTTCACGAGACGGAGCAGCAGCAGCGAGAGGCGCTCTCATTCCCCGAGGGAGAGACGGGGCTGACCCCGGGGGTCAGAGCGGGAAGGAGGGAAAGTTACGTGTGGAAACCTCCGAAGAGCCATTTGAGTATCGTCTGCTTGGCTCAGGCCCCAAACAATCGTGTAAGAAAATGCTCTCCACGCGATTTTTTGTGATAAAAGGTGTTAGTGGGCCCTGTGCTGGGATAGCCATCTAGCACCTCGAAATGTGCTAGTGACAGAATTGGTTCAGGGCAGCTTCAGAGTCCTTCCCTCACGGGGGGCTCGGCGCACGGGCAGGCTGACTGGAGTCTGTGCAGCGAGTTACATGCCATGGTGCGTACGTGCGGCAGGGCCTGTCCTGTCTTTAGTGCCCCTGGGGTCCTGCCCCGGGTGGTGCGTGGCCCCCAGCCCCTTTCTTCCCTGCAGAGCCTGGTGTCGGCATTTTTTTGGATGGAAAATTCCCGGATCAAAAGCGAAGGGAAGGGACGTGGCGCTGCAGGGCCGTGTGTGGGTTTACGTGGCGCTGCAGGGCCGTGTGTGGGTTTACGTGGCGCTACCCAGGGGGGCAGGGAGCCCAGCTGCGCCCTCTGGGTCCTGCTCTGCAGATGGCGGCGTCTGGCCCTCACCCGGCTTCTGACTTCTGTTTGCAGCCCGTGTACTTCCACACGTCCTTGAGCCACCCGAGCATTGTGGCCGTGGTGGAAGTGGTCGCCCACGGCAGGAGACGGGACGGGACCCTCCAGAGCCTGTCGTGTGGGTTTGGGATTCTTCGTATCTTCAGCAGCAAAACGGAGTCTCCCCGCACAGCCTCCCAGGACAGACGGTACCTCCTCGCGTCCTCACGTCCGGTCCTTGGGTCCCTGTCCTTGGCTTTTCCTCGTCCCTGTGCTGGTGAAACCGTGGCCCGCTTGGCCACACAGATCGGCTACGTGTGTTGGCTGTGTGTGTGCACATGGGGCACCGGTGGTTCTGCTTGTAACCATTCCAGCCCAGCCGAAGCTGCATTGCCCCCTGGGTCCCTCTCTCAGCCGCGGCCCCTGACCTTTTGGGCCGGAGAGGTCTTTGCTGTGGGTTGTCCTGTGAGTGTAGGATGCCCAGTACGTCCCTGGCCTCTACCCACCAGGTGCCAGGAGCACGTCCCCTGTGGTAATGACAAAAATGTCTGCAGGCATTACCGACTGTGCCTTGGGGAACAGAACCGTTCCTGGCTGAGAGCTGCCATCCTACATGGACAACCATGGGAGGGGCTCAGCTGCTGTCTTTCTGGGGGTGTTTCAATCACTATGGGTTTCCCTGAGCGGCTTCCTGGGCCCAGGAGCTTGGGCTGCACTGCAGGTGCTGGGTGCACAGGCTGAGAGCTGGGCGCACGGGCTGGGAGCTGGGTGCACAGGCTGGGAGCTGGGCCCATGGGCTGGGAGCTGGGCCCATGGGCTGGGAGCTGGGCCCATGGGCTGGGAGCTGGGCCCATGGGCTGGGAGCTGGGCCCATGGGCTGGGAGCTGGGCCCATGGGCTGGGAGCTGGGCCCATGGGCTGGGAGCTGGGCCCATGGGCTGGGAGCTGGGCCCATGGGCTGGGAGCTGGGCCCATGGGCTGGGAGCTGGGCCCATGGGCTGGGAGCTGGGCCCATGGGCTGGGAGCTGGGCCCATGGGCTGGGAGCTGGGCCCATGGGCTGGGAGCTGGGCCCATGGGCTGGGAGCTGGGCCCATGGGCTGGGAGCTGGGCCCATGGGCTGGGAGCTGGGCCCATGGGCTGGGAGCTGGGCCCATGGGCTGGGAGCTGGGCCCATGGGCTGGGAGCTGGGAGCTGGGCGCTGGGCCCATGGGCTGGGGGCTGGGCGCGCGGGCTGGGAGCTGGGAACTGGGCGCTGGGCACGCGGGCTGGGGGCTGGGAGCTGGGAGCTGGGAGCTGGGCGCAGTGCTCTCCAGGGTCTGTTTCCCCAGAGGCGCGGGCGCATGGCACTGGGAAGGCCCAGGAGGTGGACGGTGTTGGGCCCACACACCCGCCTTTCAAAGAGTAGCTGATGTTTGGGGGCTAGAGCTGCAGGGCCATGTAGATGTGTTTTGGGCTCTTGTTTTGCAGGTTGAGACTGTATCACGGCACCCCCAGAGCCCTTCTGCACCCCCAGCTGCAGGACCCCATCGAACGTAAGATC